CCGACACACACACGTGGTTACGTTTATCCGACACACACACGTGGTTACGTTTATCCGACACACACACGTGGTTACGTTTAGCCAACACACACACACGTGGTTACGTTTATCCGACACACACACGTGGTTACGTTTAGCCGACACACACACGTGGTTACGTTTATCCGACACACACACGTGGTTACGTTTAGCCAACACACACACACGTGGTTACATTTATCCGACACACACACGTGGTTACGTTTAGCCGACACACACACGCCTCTACTGAGCGTCTGGATTAAACACATCATGTGTTGAGTGCTTTAAGTGCGTTCACACTGCATAGTTCAGGAAAGTGCAGTTATTTCCTGGGGCACTCAAAATGGTCCAAAAGTTGAGTGTGGAATAACGGACTCTTTTCACCCTCAATGGTCACCACGTGAGACATAACAGAAGCCACGTCACAAACTTCTGACATGGCGGCTGGAGACGATAAGGGGCCTGTTGGTTCTACGTGTTTTTGCACTAAGTACCAAAACTGTTGTCGAACAGAAGCTGTCAGTGATGTTCGTTGGGTCTGTGATTATTTGGCACTGCCATCAATAATGTGAATGCTAACGTCAGCTAGCAAGCTAACGTAAGCATGTCAGGTTTGCCAAACATGGATTTGTCTCATTGTCCCTGGTTCAAAGTTATGGAGACGTCCACACAGAATATCATTTAATGTGGAGGAACAACAGACAATGTTGTAGCTAGCAAGCTAACTTTGTTCTGCTCCAGGTGTTGATCAGCACACAGCGTTAGCTAGCTGTTGGCTAGCACGTTGATGAGTTGTTCCTCCACATTAAATGATATTCTGTGTGGACGTCTCCACAAGTTTGAACCAGGGACAATGAGACAAATCCATGTTTGACAGTTTTTACAGCTCGTATGATGATGAATTATCTTTCATCACGTCAGTAATTCAGTTCATGTAATCCAAACACACACTCCTCTACTGAGCGTCCAGCAGCCATTACAGCCTGAACACACACATTAGAATTAACCAAAGACTAAACTTCATTTTCTGCCACACGTAGATCAGAAACACACACACACACACACACACACACACACACACACACAGACACACACACACACACACACACACACACACACAGACAGACAGACAGACAGACAGATGCTGACGACCTCTCGTCCTTTAATTGATGACAAATGAGTTTGTTTGTTTTAGGAGAAACACTGAAGTGTTTACACAACACACACACACACACACACACACACACACACACACACACACACACACACACAGGTGAACAGGTGTGTGTGTGTGTTTCTCTGAATCAGCATCTTTAAAACCTGAAACACTAAAACATGAAGAAACTCATCTGAACGAACACACACACACACACACATGTAAAAATGTAAGACTGATGCTGTTTATTGTTTGTTTCACAGAAACAACAACAACAATTAGGCTATTATAATAATTTTAATAACAAGGTTCATATTTTTATTATTTATCTAAAGCGACACCTGTTTATCAATATCTGATCAATAAACATAAACAGGAAGTTCTATTGTTGTTGTTTTAATATCAGTGATCAATAATCCATAAATATAACCACCATCCAGGACCTTTAAACACACACACACACACACACACACACACACACACACACACACACACACACACCCTCTGAGGGAGCTCGCGCCTCTCTCACCTGTTCATTCACTTCGTACCTGAGACTCACCGGAGCTGCACGCGCCCTCAGGAGGAGCCGCGCGGACCGGACATTTTAATCCATAATCAATAAAAAGTTCAGTCGCAGACAGTGATCAGCTTCCGGTTTATTCCCGCAGGTTCTGTGCTGTTCACGGACCCGGTTTATTGATCTGAACCTGGAGGACCCGGATCAGAGGGAGCGCGAGCATGTCCCGGGCCGAGGAGCGCGAGGAGGCCGATTGTGTGTGTTCCGTCGGGATGAAGTTCACGTGGGACATCAACGACCCCAAACTGCCGCAGGTAACACGGTGATCAATAAGTGATCGATACAGGCAGTCAGATTATCAGCAGCTTCACTCCAACAGGAAGTGATCAGCAGCCTTATTATTAGAAACATTATTGATCAGCAGCCTTATTATTAGTAACATTATTGATCAGCAGCCTTATTATTAGAAACATTATTGATCAGCGTCAAAAAACAAAAGGTTTAAAATAAATCAACAACATGATGAAAGTCAGTTTATATTAAAGTGAGTTTGGTCCGTCATCATTCATTCAGCATGTTTTATTTATTAATGTGAATATTAATAATCTTTATTATTAAACATTGAACAGTTCTGTTGGATCAATATACATTTTATGATGTTCTTAAATAGTCTATAAACGAACAGGGTTTGACTGGAGAGGCCGGGGTCCATCTTTTATCCGATCATTCAAACATTCAGCCTGTCACATTAATTAATAACTTATCAATAAAGATTAAAATTATATAATTTAACAGTTCAATAAATAAACTCAAGTATTTTGTCACTGTGTTAAACTGGCAATAAAAACGAGCAGGGTTCGGTTGGAGAGATTTGGTCCGTGATTCGTCCGATCATTCAAACATTCAGCCTGTCACATTAATTAATAACGTCATAATAAAACATTCAAATAATATAACTGAACAGATCAATAAATAAATAAACTTTGTCATTTTCTTAAATAGTCTAAAAAAATGAACATGAACGTCATGTTTTATTTATTAATGTGAGTAAAAGTTTTCTTAATAAAACATTCAGCCTGTCACATTTAATAATAACGTCATAATAAAACATTCAGCCTGTCACATTTAATAATAATTTTTTTATATACATATCTGATCAGTTCAACTTGCTCCTCAGGTGGAGTTCTGCTGTTTGTTGAATTATAACAATCTTTGTCTCCTTAAAATAACTTCACATAAAACTAAATTAACATTAAATGTGTTTTAATAACTGTATTTATTGACATGATGAGGATATCTGTGCACAGGCGATCAATAATTGAAGCATGTTTCTGATCAGGATCATTCAGCTCACACACATATATTAATATTGTTTACAGACGTAAAGTTAGAAAAACTGAATGAATGAAAAGATCTCATGGAAATATTAAATAACTAATAACTTCTTCATTTGAGTTTTTACATTCTCAAAATGTCGTATGGAGGCTTAGAGTTTGTTCAGTGGAAACACGTTGAGGTTTGATTATTGATCGCTGTGCACACACAATGAACACAGTCACATTTTATATAAAGACAGATTGTCATGTTTTTACAAAGAGCCGTCAACATTTTTCATTTTCTCTCATATTTCCCCTTGATATGGTTCATATGTTACACCTCAGCATCATCTTTATAAAGACAAACTGAATTTAACTAAATAACCAAACATATTTAGAGACTCTGCAGAAATATGGAATATGTAAATGTCACGTCATTAAATTTAAACTCATTTAGTTTTTGACTGAAAACCGTCACAACATGAGTAAAATATTTAGTTTAAAAATGTGACAGTGAAGCTGTTTATTAATTCTCCTCCAGAGTTCCCAGATAAATTATGAAGATTTAAGGAAATCATAGAACTTCTCTCCCTTTTCTTCTTTAGATATTTTCAGATCATAAACTCTTTTTATTTCTGACTAAATCCCTTCGACTGACGTCAGCTCACCTCGCCGCCATTTTCCCCTCGAACAACAAATTTAACCCAAAATCAGTTTTGAATCTTTTTTTTTTTTTTTTTGAGACAGACTCTGTTGAGGACAAGATATATAAATGTATCTGTAGTGTCAATGTTATAAATGTGGGTTCAAAGTGTAAATCTTTATCTTATTTAATAAGTCATATTTAATGGATTCGGTTTGTCTAATAAATAAACTCCCTCTGCACCACATGAAATATCACAGATTATAAAACGTGTTTCTGATTATGAAAATTAATTATCATTAAAAATTCTTTTTTTTAGCAGATGAAGAAAATATGTTTTGATGAAATGCTGTAACAATAATAACAATAATAATAATAATAATATTAACAACAATGTTTAAACTACAGTTTTATACGTGAACAAACACGGAGCTGATTCTGTCACATCGACAGAAAGAACTGACTCATTTTCTGAGTGTGACACAAATATACTGAACCTGTGTGAGGTTTACTGTTTGTTAAAGGTTATCTGAAGGTTGTGTGTGTGTGTGTGTGTGTGTGTGTGTGTGTGTGTGTGTGAAGCAGCTGACTCGGCTCTTCTCTCTGTTGATGCTCAAACAGTAAAAACTGGTTTTTATATTTTAGTTTTCAGTGAAACCAAAACAAACAGAGCCTCTCAGGTGGAACAGCTGATCCAGAGTCAGCTCGTCACTGATCAATATCTGGGATTGATTTTCGGACACGTATCTGTAAACTGATCAGTCTAACATAGACAGGAGCTCAGCAGCTTTCACATCTCTGATTAAAGATAAAACCTCGACTTCTCTGTCATGAATCAAACATTCAGCTTTAACAGGCTGTTTTCTGCCATAAATACCAACAAAGAAGAATTCACGTTCATCATGACCCAGGTGGCCGTCGGACTCGGCCCATTTGCGGCAGGGTGTTGGCTGACTCAGTGGTGCTACATGTGAGCTCTGGCCCGTTGATGGTCACCAGATCTGCGTCTTGTTGGGCGCCATCAACCTCCTGGCTGAGACAAGGCTGCTTTAACCTTTAGGCCCGTTTCCACTGAAGAAGTTCCTGGTATTATTTGAGGAGCAGGAACTACAACAGGAACGTCCTCTCGCTCGGCTCTCTCAACCGCCTTGTCTCCACTGAGAGAGCGGAGTACGAGGAAGGTTCCTGTAAAATTACCGGGCTCTGGATGTGATGTAATCGTTGTGCGACCATTTTGACCTGGGCGACGTAGGGACGTCGTTAGCCGATAGTGGTGTCTGTAATAACTCATTAAACTCACAGAGTGGTCCATGAAAAAAATATTTTTTCCATATATATTTTTGTCTTAGTTACATCATGATTGAGCTAACTGCAGTAGTTTCATGTCGTATCCGACAACGGGAGGCTTTTAACAGATGACGTCCTGATGTTAGCTTTGCTGCTGCTGTTAGCTGTCCCTGTCAGCTGATGCTTTCTAGACATCGTGATTTCCCAAAACTGAATAAATACCACACATAGCAACACAAAAATGCTTTGCTAGCTCAATCATGTTGTAACTAAGAATTCGCTGGAAAAAAAATATTTTTTTCAACGACCGGTTCGTGAGTTTGTTTACATGGCGGCGGAAGCTATATGAACGAGCCAACCCTCGTCTGCTGAGTTTTAAAAATTCCGGCTATTTTGTTGCTTTCTGTTGACGTCACATCCCGTCTTGAGTATATCCAGTCAGCACCAAGTAATCCTCAAGCCCCAGCCAGGAGTCTCTTGGGCCGTTCTGAGTACCTACTCCGAGGCAGGGACTTGTTTAGCCCCTGTAAAAGTTCTGGAACTCTGTCCTTCGGGGGTGGTTCCTGCGGTGGAGACATGCACCAACGGCCCCGGCCCCGTAAAATTACCCCGAAGTTCCTGCAGTGGAAACTGGCCTTATGAGCCATGAGATCAAATGTCTCACATGTTAGACTAACCTGTCTGTCTGTCTGTCTGTCTGTCTGTGTGTGTGTGTCTGTCTGTCTGCCTGTCTGTCCTCCTGTCTGTCTGTCTGCAGGACACAAAGCAGTTCGACCCGTTCCAGGAGTGGACAGACGGTTATGTTCGGTACATCTACAGCGGTGAGAAACAGTTGCAGAAGAAATCAGTTTGAACAGAGAGGTCAACTGTGTCTCAGGATCAAACACATGATCGGTGTTATTGATTATTGATTACTGACATTCTAACACGTGGTGTTGTGAGACATGATTCAATGACATATTACTGGGCGGTATGATGTCACACTGGGCAGTGTGATATCACACTGGGCGGTATGATGTCACACTGGGCGTTATGATGTCACACTGGGCGTTATGATGTCACACTGGGCGGTATGATGTCACACTGGGCGGTATGATGTCACACTGGGCGGTATGACTGGCTGTATAAATCCTGTCTTGTCTCTGACTTATGATATTTTCATTATTGATTAACGTGTTGGTTGAGTTTGATCGTGTTTCTCTCAACTCCACTGACATCCAGTGTACAGCGCTGTTTTGCATCAGTTGTCCAGGTTTCAGGCTGCAGAGCAGAACGTCTTATAAATATGGGGAGTCAGGAAGTGCGCCAGGTTGTGAAGCCAAATGTCATAGTGGTCAAACAGTGTAATTACACTGTCACATGATGTCATGGGGCCAACAAAGACTTTTCCCTAAAGACTCATGTGGCGAACGAGACGTCTTTAAAGCAGTGGATCCATTTTTTAGCGCCACCCCCCAAAATGACTCATTTCACCATCAGGGTTTGATCCATTTAGTCCGATGATGTTTGGAAAGTCTGGAAGAGCTTCATGATTAAATCATTTTAGCCCCACTCAAGTTAGCAGACCGGAAGTAGCTGGATCAGTGGAAGGAAGTCTGTAGTGCGCCTGCTGTATGGGACCCAGTGCTTCTGTAATTTTATACACAGCAGTTGGACCTTTTTGTCTTCATGCACCACTGAGCAGCTTTCATAGTAACAAATTAGGCCCCGCCTCCAGCGCTATATCCAGGTCTCTTTATACATCCATGAGAAGAGTGGACTGTTTCAGCTGTCGCTTTGTTCTTAGCTGAAGATAAGAACGCTCAGAGACATCTCTCTGGCTGGGCGATGAGAAACACCAACAACCACAACTGTCAGATCCTGAAGAAGTCCTGTTTGGGTGTGGTGGTCTGTTCACGAGGCTGCACGCTGCCCGACGGGTCCCGGCTGCAGCTGCGCCCCGCCATCTGTGACAAGGCCCGGCAGAAACAGCAGAGTAAGTACAAACACAGATCCTGTTCAGGTACCCTCCTCCTGTGTCTCCTTGTGTCCACCGGTCTCCTGACCTGGACTCTTTGTGTTTCAGAGAAGCTGTGTCCGAGCTGTAACGCTGCTCTGGAGCTACTGCCATGTCGCGGCCACAGCGGTTACCCCGTCACCAACTTCTGGAGAGTCGATGGAAAGGCCATCTTCTTCCAGGTCACCACCTTTATGCTAACATGCTAACTAGCTAAATAACGTGGCATATCTAGCACTTCATACCAGATCCTGAACGATAACCAGTACGTGGACATCAGACTAGATTTGAACCAGCTTTTGTCTCCATGAAACCATGAAGCTTAAACATTCTTAAACAACCTGACGGTCTGAGCAGGTTTACACCAGATCCTGGACATCTAAACTGGTCTGAGCCAGATCTTAGGATTCTAATTAGTTTTAAAATAATTCCTGAAAGCACAAATATATTCAAAAAATGTCTTCAAGTCTGGAAAGGGCTAAACTAGTTTGTGTCTGTGTAAACAGGTCTAAACCAGATCCTGAATGCATGAACAGATTGGAGGAGGTATGGCCTGATTCAAACCAGATTCTAAACAGTCTGTCGTTGTTGTTGTTGTCCTTCAGGCTAAAGGGGTCCATGATCATCCCAGACCAGAGTCCAAGTCTGAGACTGAAGCCAGAAGAAGTTCAGTGAAGAGACGAGTCAGCTCCCCGCCGTTCACGCCCAAAAGACGGCTCATTGAAACACAGGTCGACAACAACAACAACAACACACAACAGCTGTTGGTTAACGTTGGTGTTGTTTATTGTTTGCTTATTTGTTGTCAACTGTTTCAGGCTCTGGGCCCCGCCCTCCTCTCCTGCGTCGATCCATCAGACAGAATCTCCTTCATCGAGCCGAATTTCCCACAGCATTACCCAGCGTTTCAGAGCCCAGAGCCCTACTACAACCCCCACAATGCACTAGGAGAGGCCCCACCCACACTGCAGAAACCAGCCAATCCCAGGCTTTACATGGGCCGGCCCTCTTACGAGTTCCAAGGATACCTGACCTCGCCTTCGTATCCCATGACGTCTGACCTCTGTGACCCCAGGTCAGCATCGCACACACTCCAAAACACATCCTGTGTCTTTAAATACTTTCAGCCAAATCCAGTTCAGCTACAGGGGTTTAAATGAGATCTGGACTGCCGAACTGCGCGTAAACCAGACCCTGAAACCCTGAACAGAGTCAAAAAGGTCTTGACGGACGTGATCCTGGCGGACTGAGCAGGTCTTATCCAGAATCTGACAGTGTCAACAGGTCTAAACTAGATCCTGGTTTCTGTGCAGGGTGGCTCCAGTCCTGGGTTCCTCCTCTTCCTCCACGTCATCATCGGCTCCCCTCTCCTCCTCCTCCTCCTCCTCCTTCGACCCCCAGGCGAAGCCATCTGCAGGCTGGAAGGAGCTGCTGAAGAGCTCCGCCCCCTATGGTGACAACCACCATTACTACAGCGCAGAGTACCCCTGCCGTTACCCCAGCAACGCCCCAGGGTCCCCCGCAGCACTGCAGACCATCATCACCACCACAACCAAGGTGGGTACAGTTCATCAGGAGGGTCCATCTGCAGACCTGAAATCTTCCTTTAATCCTCTGAGACCCACAGTCCCACTTTGTCTTTTTTGATAGACAGGACAGTTCGATAGAGGGGCGGGGCTTAAACCTCATTATACTGTTACATTAACACCTGTACTGTCCCTCCTCAGGTCTCCTACCAGCCCTGTCCGAAGCCTCCTGCAGCGCTCCCTTCCTACCAATCATGTCCTAAACCTCCTGCCGGCCTCCCGTCCTACCAGTCCTGTGCTCCCCCGAAACCTCCAGGCCTCCCTGGCTGCTCCTCTCTGCTGGATGACGCCTCTTCCTCTTCCTATTCCACCGAGGTGAAGGTGACGGAGGAGTCGGGTGGAGTCATCAAGTCTCTGTCGTTTCAGCCCGAACCTCTGCAGACCAAAACAGAGCGGGCCGATGGCTATGACTACCGTTACGCCTACCCCAACACGTACCGCTACGATGACTACTGAGGCAGCACTACCTCCACCGCAGCTACCACGACTGCTGTTACTACCACTGCACCCACCCAACACGTGGTGCCATGATGACTACTGATACTACAACTGTCACTATGAGGAAAAACTACTGCTACAGCTTAAACACAAACTATCTGTCCACAGACTGTGTGAAACAAAACCCAGTGAACGACCTGCTGAACGACATCTGCCACTGCATGGATCAGGAGCGGACAGGATGTGGATTATCAGGACGAAACTCTGACCGAACCAAAATTTTGGTCCATGAGAAACTTTCTGGAGACGCTCATGGAATACTGTCATGTTCCCAGAGGCAGATCCTTCTCCAGCTTCCCTCGACCGACTCTTTCAGGACAAGAAGTGAAAACACTGGAGTGAAATGTGCGTCAGACACCAGGATTCTGTTTGGTCAAAAAGCCTCAACACAAGACCCAACTCAGACCCGGTGCTTCTGGACCTCTCAGCCACATCTCATGGCCTTCTTCAGCAAACTGAGCTGCAGCCATCAATTCATGGATTTGATTGTTGTGACATCACCTGATGGTTGTTTTTGTGGTGGAGATTGTTTCTGCAGGTATACGTTATCATGTGGGGGAGGTGTGTTACATCCTTCAGAGTCCCCAGAAGTGAGGTGTGTCACATCCTTCAGAGTCCCCAGAAGTGAGGTGTGTCACATCCTGTAGAGTCCCCAGAAGTGAGGTGTGTCACATCCTTCAGCGTCCCTAGAAGTGAGGTGTGTCACATCCTTCAGAGTCCCCAGAAGTGAGGTGTGTCACATCCTGTAGAGTCCCCAGAAGTGAGGTGTGTCACATCCTTCAGCGTCCCTAGAAGTGAGGTGTGTCACATCCTTCAGAGTCCCCAGAAGTGAGGTGTGTCACATCCTGTAGAGTCCCCAGAAGTGAGGTGTGTCACATCCTTCAGCGTCCCTAGAAGTGAGGTGTGTCACATCCTTCAGAGTCCCCAGAAGTGAGGTGTGTCACATCCTGTAGAGTCCCCAGAAGTGAGGTGTGTCACATCCTTCAGCGTCCCTAGAAGTGAGGTGTGTCACATCCTTCAGAGTCCCCAGAAGTGAGGTGTGTCACATCCTGTAGAGTCCCCAAAAGTGAGGTGTGTCACATCCTTCAGAGTCCCCAGAAGTGAGGTGTGTTACATCCTTCAACGTTCCTAGAAGTGAGGTGTGTCACATCCTGTAGAGTCCCCAGAAGTGAGGTGTGTCACATCCTTCAGAGTCCCCAGAAGTGAGGTGTGTTACATCCTTCAGCGTCCCTAGAAGTGAGGTGTGTCACATCCTTTAGCGTCCCCAGGACTGAGGCACATGTGATAACAAATTTAACCTCGTCTAATTAACTGAGCGGCTGGTTGTGACAGATGTGGCTGAGAGCTTCAACACACGACAACAAGGAGACTTTCTTCTGTCAAGTTTTCTGAGTCAAATATGAACCTTCAAACTCAGGATTCAGTTATTGTGACATCACTTTAAACCATAAAAGACCCCAGAAGAACCAGAATCCTCCTGGTTTCTGATGAATTTGAATATCAAATATTAGACCTTCACCAAAGACTTTTTAATGTCACAGCAGTCTGAGTGTAATGAAGCTGTGGAAGTTGTCTTCATGAGTGTTTGGGTTATTTATTGAGTCCGTCAGTAAACCTGTGAGCACGCTGAACTGTGTCTGAATGAAAGAACAAACTGAATGAACCAGTTGTTGACTGAAGAGATCTGTGAGATGTAAAACTGTTTCTGTCTGAACTGAAGTCTCACATTAAACCAACTATTGTACAGACTCTTGTTTCTCTTTCCTTCAGAGTAAACTGATGTTAAAGCACAAGCTGGGACTAAAAGTTGGTGTAACATCCCTTTAAAAGTGTGTTTGGAGTCAACAGCTGATCAGCAGCGTCGCAGCACAGAACCCGCTCACCTCTTTTCCACTTCATGTAAAATATTTTATATTCTCAGTTCTTCTCACCGTTTCCTAAAGTTTCCTTTAGTTGCTCTGGTTTGAGTTAAACTCAAACATACGAGGCTCAGATTAAAATCACGTTCTGGGCGTCATGGCGTGAAGACAGGCCACAGGTGGACCAGCGTCCCCTCCTGGGTCCAGAGCCTCAGGATGAGAACCTGCAGCGGAGGATCAAAGAGCTGCTGTTTGGACGGTTCCAGTCTGGATGAGTAATAAATGTTGTTTTGACAAGAACGCGTCAGGACAGGAACGGTTGTGCTGTCCTCACTGTGAACCTTTAAAACCCTCAGACTGAGTCCTCTGTCAGTACCTTCCATTACAGTCACTCACTGCTCCGCCTCCAGGTTACATTAACATCTGCCAGACGCCGCTCTGATCCCAACAACCAATCACACACACCCACCTCCTGCTGGACGTTCACCTCGCCATCGCTACACTCTATATTGACATGACCTCAGTCCGGACGTAAACAAAGGGCAACACACGCTGATGTGTCCTTTCAAAATGGTTTGATCCAGACAGGTAGGACCACCACGTGAGTGTGCAGGTGATACAGGTGAGTGTCCAGGTGACACAGGTGAGTGTTCAGGTGACACAGGTGAGTGTCCAACAACAAGTAGGACCACCTGGTGAGTGTGCAGGTGATACAGGTGAGTGTCCAGATGATACAGGTGAGTGTCCAGATGATACAGGTGAGTGTGCAGGTGATACAGGTGAGTGTCCAGGTGACACAGGTGAGTGTTCAGGTGACACAGGTGAGTGTCCAACAACAGGTAGGACCACCTGGTGAGTGTGCAGATGATACAGGTGAGTGTCCAGATGATACAGGTGAGTGTCCAGATGATACAGGTGAGTGTGCAGGTGATACAGGTGAGTGTCCAGGTGACACAGGTGAGTGTTCAGGTGACACAGGTGAGTGTCCAACAACAGGTAGGACCACCTGGTGAGTGTGCAGATGATACAGGTGAGTGTCCAGATGATACAGGTGAGTGTCCAGATGATACAGGTGAGTGTGCAGGTGATACAGGTGAGTGTCCAGGTGACACAGGTGAGTGTTCAGGTGACACAGGTGAGTGTCCAACAACAGGTAGGACCACCTGGTGAGTGTGCAGATGATACAGGTGAGTGTCCAGATGATACAGGTGAGTGTCCAGATGATACAGGTGAGTGTGCAGGTGATACAGGTGAGTGTCCAGGTGACACAGGTGAGTGTTCAGGTGACACAGGTGAGTGTCCAACAACAGGTAGGACCACCTGGTGAGTGTGCAGATGATACAGGTGAGTGTCCAGATGATACAGGTGAGTGTCCAGATGATACAGGTGAGTGTGCAGGTGATACAGGTGAGTGTCCAGGTGACACAGGTGAGTGTTCAGGTGACACAGGTGAGTGTCCAACAACAGGTAGGACCACCTGGTGAGTGTGCAGATGATACAGGTGAGTGTCCAGGTGATGCAGGTGAGTGTCCAACAACAGGTAGGACCACCTGGTGAGTGTGCAGATGATACAGGTGAGTGTCCAGGTGATGCAGGTGAGTGTCCAACAACAGGTAGGACCACCAGGTGAGTGTGCAGATGATACAGGACACAGGATGAGGGTCATAAGGACAGAGGGATGTCGTATGCTGTAAAGCTCTGTGAGGCAAACTGTGATTTGTGATATTGGGCTTTATAAATAAAATTGATTGAATTGATTGATTGATACAGGTGAGTGTCCATCAACAGGTAGGACCACCAGGTGAGTGTCCAGACAATACAGGTGAGTCAACAGGGGAGACCTTGACCGTTTCTGTAGACTTGTGGGTAGAAGATGTTTTGCAGCTCTCGGCTCGTCAGCCAACGCCTCACCTGTCTCTCACCTGTAAACCAGGCGAGGCGAGAGCAGATAATCCTGAGCTGTGTAATTCTATCCTTCCACCAACAGTCACCTCATCCTGTCTTCTTATCTTCTTATCTTCTTTTTCTTCTTCTCTGCTGATCTACATCGCTGCTTTTTCACACGCAAATCATTTCATCCCTCGGCCTCTTCTTCTTCTCCTCCTGCTAAATAAATCATCCCGTCTGCTGACATGAGATACTTTTCCAAACAACGACACATCTGCCCCTCCACCTCCCACTCCTCCATCCAGCCATCCGTCCCCTCGCTCTGATGTGGCTCCGCACTAATGGATGTTTTCAATTTGATGCTACATGGTTGTGATTTACAACAGACAGACAGACAGACAGGAGGACAGGAGGACAGACAGGCAGGAGGACAGACAGGCAGACAGGAGGACAGACAGACAGACAGACAGGAGGACAGGAGGACAGGAGGACAGACAGACAGGAGGACAGACAGACAGACAGGAGGACAGGAGGACAGACAGGCAGACAGGAGGACAGACAGACAGACAGACAGGAGGACAGACAGACTGGAGGACAGGAGGACAGACAGGCAGACAGACAGACAGACAGGAGGACAGGCGGACAGACAGACACACAGACAGACAGACAGACAGGCAGATGGTGGAGAGACAGGAGATAATGAAATGGTTAAAGGAAATAAAGTTAAGACATTTCAACGATGATTAAAACGTTTCTGTATCTCACAAAATAATTGATTCAAGTGTTCAACAACAGAGTCGGACAGACGAGACTTAACCCTGCTCAGAACCAAAGGTTGTTCCAAACACAAAATACTGTGGTGCTGGATTTGTCCTCTGAAAATCATCAGCAGAAAAAAGAAAACAATTTAATTTGGACACTTTAGAACGTGTTTTATTTTTTCTATGTGGACAAAGATTCTTAAGACACAAACAGTAAAAGTGACAATAAACCTTTTTTTAAAAAAAACAAAACAAAAACATGAGTTAATTAATTTGTCACTCATATCAATTAATAAACTGATGGTCATAACACACTGCGTATAGATTTTATATTGTATTTGTCATCAGGTCTCAAAATATCCCTGATCTCTAAGGTATGTCCTGAAAACACTCCTGAGATGAAACTTTTCTGTGGACATGATCAATAAGATGCTGAATCATTAAAGCATCAAATCACATCAGTGGGGGAGAGTGGGGTCACATGTGCCAGTTTTTACTTGAGGTGACTTTAAAGAGAGGGCATGGCACTAATGTCTCCAACTAAAATATGTACATATGTTTCAGGATGTGGGGCATCCCCGGGGACAACCACTTTGGCTCTTAAATAAACTGTTTTAAAAATATGGCCTTCCAAAAAAAAAGTGGTCTTGTGGCACAATTTGCAGGGCGAGTTGTGCCTTGGTAGAAAATACGTTGGGGTAAATTGTGCCATTGATTACTAAAGTAAAACAGAACATTTTCATCACATATACTGTAATGCTGTATCAAAGCAAGACAAATTCATTACTATATTACTTATTAAAGCTTTTTTAAATAACATCAAAGGCCAATTTTAACAGTAGACAACATGTTGAATACATGAAAGATCTTAAGTAGGCCTCCATAATATTTAACATTTTCAGAATAAAATTAAGTTAAACCTGAACAAAATCAATGGCAATTCTCAGAACCAGGCTACAACACAACATGCCACCTGTCACTGCTGCAATATTCTCCAACAGGGTCTGTTTAAAATGTTAAGAGCAAAATTAAAGAATAAAAATGAAGGCTCCAGGTCATACATGTCACCTCCTGGCCAGTAGAGTGTGTGTCACACTCTACTGGCCAGGAGTTGACATGGGTGCAGATCCTGGGGTGGACGGGGGGGATATGTTCCCCTGATTTCTGAAAAACACAAATTGTCCCCCCCAATTCTAAATAGCCTAAACGACTGAAATTGAACAAACGTATTTTCCGAGTCCACATTCCCAGTTCTAAAATAAATGAAAATTGTGGAACAAACATTTTTATAAATAAAAATGAAATGAATTTATTTAAATAAATGTGACTGTGTTGGGTCAACTGGTGTAACTTGTAAGTTTTTATTGTGCTCTTGTTCTAACACTAGCATTTCTGGCTCTGTAAAAACATTATCAGTTAGTTTAACCAAGCTCAGTTCAGGGCTCATGTTCTGATAATCATCCATATCCACTGATGTATACAGTAGTCCCATATACTGGGAGAAAGGGAAGATGATGAGGAGAACTGGGAATCTGTGAGAGGCGAGAGATGAGAACGTGAGTGGACATAACATGCCTGAGACCCTGAAACTAGAAGTAGCATTAACTAACAGTGAAGCAGTGAAGAGGAGGGTGATGGCTGGCTCCATGTACTATTGGCTGGTTCAGAGAAACTAACAGTAAAGGTGAGCACATGATTCTCTGTGAGTGCTTTTTGAATGACTTGGTGATGAGCCTCTATGAAATCCTGAAATATGCTGCCAGTCTCAAGCGCTCTGTGGGCGTGATCTGCACGCGTGCAATTAAAAACAACACAACTGATTGTGTCCCCCAAACTTGTCACCAGATCTGCAGCCATGACGTCACACCGTCTGAACTCTGATGTCTTTGGAACTTATGTGTGTGTGTGTGTGTGTGTGAGAGAGAGAGAGTGAGAGAGAGAGAGAGAGAGAGAGAGAGAGAGAGAGAGATATCATTTTAGTGATAAAATAAAACAATACAATGTACAATTACAATAAATTAATATGTTAATAATGATCATCAGTGGGGTGGCACAACTTCACCAGGCCTTTTGGCACACATCACCCCAACCCCACCATTTTAGCAAACTTGTATCATGCAGCAGTTCAGAGCTAACTTCATGCTAACAGTATAGCCTCATGTTGTAGCTTACTAAAGCACTAACTCAGTGAACTCAAACGTACCTCACCCTTCCTCCCCACCTCACGGCCGGCCATGCTTGT